TTGGTCACAATCGAATTCACAAATGCATTTCTCTCGAGAGCTACCTTTCCCGTTGTAAGTATTTTGAAGAGATCTCAGCCTTTGACGCTTTCATTATTCATTTACTTTGGCATTATTTATAGATAGACGAGGAAAAAGCTCAACTTAAGGTAATTAATTGTATCTTGAAACTTAAAAAATTTGCACATTTTCGTTAATTCAGCCTTAGTCATTTATGACAAGAGAACGACAGTAACAAGAGAGCTGAACTATAACATCATTATCTAATGAATATTTGAAGTGAATACTGAATGAAACTTCTTTTTAAATCAGTTAGTACGTGAATAATAATTATGAATGATTAGCTTATGTGAGAACTCACACGAAAACAAAAACAAACAAATGCATAGAATGGCATTAACTAAAATCAATTAATTGAGTTCCGTAAGGTTGACGGAAAATCTCAAAAAACACTTCAAATCTATCACTTTTTCACTTGCATGAATTTTAAATAATATATTGAGAGATATACCATCAATTGCGGATCTGAATGTTTCCTTTTCCATTGAGAGCTGAAAATCGCAACAAGTGGGTCAATATGCGAATTTATAGGTACAGAAGTATTGAAATTTGATTGACGAATAAAAGTGCACTACAAGTTAACAAATTTATCCCAATTTCCGCATAGGATTAAGAAGCATTTCATAAACTGACCTTTCAAATAGATATTCCTAGTAGGACACACAGTACTCACTCAATATAACTAGTCAAAAATAAATATATTTTCCTTCATGAAACCTGAAAAATACAGACCAGTCCAGTAATTTGTTCAATTAGTTTAATTAGTATCATTCCAATGAATATAATACTTTTCTCTCGTGAAGTGATGAAAATTTTAACTCCGAGCGATGGCACTTTTAGATTAAAAAACTTTAGCCTGCAAATTGCTTTCAGTAAAAAATAAGTTGATAAAAAATAAATAATGCAAATGTTTTTCGATCGAAAAATTGAAAGTAGAAACAGTGCAGAATAGAACTGTCAAAACTTTTATACAAAATAAAAATGTTAAATAAATACAGTGAAGAAGTAATAAAAGTGAGAGGGCGTGAAATATTTTTACGACGTGGAGTGATCAAAACTGATAGAATCATTAAAGCTATCAATTCAGCAATGCAAATGTTAGAAGCTGTTTGTTCAATGACATCTTGAAAATAACTGAAAGAATTGAAAATACTGATGTTCGGTACTTTATATTAAGTTTTCTCAAGGAAATGTTGTCCAAATTTTGATCCTTATTGCAGGTTATTCAAAACTCGATCATTTAATGCCAAAAAAAAATGCAGAAAGAATATATTCATGTCACGAACAAGATCTTAAACGTAAAAATAATTGATGACAGACTACATGTTAACTTGTCTCCAAAAAATCAAGGATTGCAAATATTTTCAATTGCATTCAAATCTTTCACATCAATATTTCTGCACCGAATCTATTCACATGAATACTTCGTATTGAGCTACAGAACAAAAAGAATCTATTCACACATTAGACACAGTTATTTATGTTGAAAAACAAAACAAAACGATTTGATCTAAAAATTCCAGATCAATCTATTTACTTCTATCCATATGTTTTACATATCTTTAAGTGCCAACGAAAGCTTAAATTGGACAAAAATTATATGTTACTAAATAAGTAGTAAATTAATGAGTATGAGTTAATATGGTTTTATACATATAGATTAATCTGCTATTAAAATTAAAAAAAATGAAGGCCATCCTTGACTAAATTTGTCTTTTTTCGTTCAAAGGGAAAGGAATTAATTTATGCTTCTGTGCCTAACTTTAGGATTGATTGAAAAAACGATTGATTAGAAGAATTTAACAAGAATGAAATTCCACGCAGACGTGCAAGAGAATTACTTTTTGCACACAATTACTTTGTTTTCTTCAATAACATGATCCAACCGATTAAATAAATGATTCCTCGAAAAACCGTCCGTCTACCATGCCTTTGAACTCATTAATCTTTGTGTGAAAGGAAGAATTCATGATATCATGAAGAAGTAAACGTTAAGGTTTGTTGACAATGAGAAAAAGTGAAGAGAGAAGTTGCTTCTTGCTCATCATCAGGAGTTATTGATCCTCTATGTTTCTTCTGGTATCCACATCCAAGTAATCTCAAAAAACATCCTGGATCCAACTGATTCAAGTCTTCCGGCATAGAACGATTCTTGGTTTCAGGTGCTGTAAGCATAAGTAATGCTGCGATGAAGGAAGCTCCTGCCACTATTGCTGCAGGTGTCTGGGCACTAGCACTTTTCTGCAATTACTTGAGCACTTATCAATTAGCACTTTTTATCGTTCATTATTTTTATTTCATTACAAGCAATACAGTGATAAGGAATTATTTAAATATTTCAACTTTTTAATGTTTTACTATCTGCAAATTTTCATATTCTCTTCTCCTGCCCGCCTCAAAAATCACTTTTAGCAGTAAGATAAAAAACGTGACCACATCTTTTATCAAACTGAGTTCGTTCTATGGTTGGCAAAGTGTACATAATTTTATGGCAAAATAAAAGGAATTATAGCTGAATATCATTCTTTAACTGTTTGAATATTTCATCTACTGAAATGTATGAAATGGTATAAACTAAAATAATTATTAAGACACTAATTAATTAGAATTGAAATAGAAGAACGGTGCATTCACTGGTAAGTATAAAAACAAATTCAATTACATAAAATAAAGTACAGTATTTGTATGAGAAAAAAAATGAGATGAGACAAAAGTTATATTTTGATATTTACTTATGATGATTAAATTTGAATTTGTAAAGGAAGGAAATGCAAACATTCTTCGTCCATTAACGAATATTGCTAATTTCAAACTAAAATGATGAAAAACTTACAAGAATAGATAGATAAGAAGCGGAAATGGAACCAATTACAGCGAAGGTTTGTACAAAGCCATAAAAAGTGTTGCGTACTGTGGTGGGACTCATTTCAGCAAGCAGTAATGGCTGTGATACCCAAATAACACTATTCAAAAATCTAGCAATTATAGCAAATCCAATTTGTAACTCTTTAAAATCTGTAATTTCATTTTTCATTAAAATGATTAGTTGTCATTGAAAATCGCTCAATCAACAAGTCAATAACTGTGATTAAAGCAAAATTTTAGCAACCTCGAAAAAGTAAAGCCAATATTTGAAACACTGATTGCATTAGAAAAGACCAAGCACTAACAGGTCGTCGACCAAATTTCTGTAATAGTAGCACAGCTAACAAACCACCAGGTAATTCACTGAATCCTGACAAAAAGTATCCACTGAAAGTGTCTTCACTGAGAGTTACACTCATTAATGCCATTGTCAAGTACGATAAATTCATTGCCATCCTAAAATTGCAAATTTCTCGTACAATTATTCTATTTTTGTAATTTCCCAAAAAATTTGAGCTCAAATACTTGCTCATTTTTAATTAAACAACAAAGAAAAGTTCGCAAATAACCAACATTACATAACATTGAACACATAGATGAAAAAGTGCCACTTTATTGCGAAAAATATCAATTATTGTCCGCGACTTGTCATTTTCACGTTGTTGAAAATTTGATTCACATTTTCTCACGTCAATGCACACTTTATTACAATGAGAAACCTCTTTGATGTACCTCAATACATATATGTAAGTAATAAAGGTATTACTGTCTAAAGTAAAAAGCATCTTTTAGTTTTGCTTTGTAAATTTTCCATTAATCTTATGCAAGTATTTAATTTTTAAATTAAGCTAAAATTGATAGTTTGTGAGTAATTAATATGAGCGGTGGAATGTTACTCTCAGTTATTCGTGAAACATCTTAAAAATGTTAATTTATAAAGTTGTGAAGTTAGTTGTCAAGCAAAATTAAACTGTAAAAGAATAAAAAGCAGTTAATCATTTTTGGAAGATGCAAAATTATCCTATCGAAAAATGTACAATTCAATATCTTTTTGAAGATTGTGACCAATCAACCAGTACGGGGATTCAGGTACAAACCTGAAATTAAACTTATCAAAGCATGAAATTCATCAGAAATAAGATTGATATAAAAGAATAGCTAATATTTATTTTGTAATATTATCTATCTAATCGTTATACTCTCTTTATTTTCCAAAGTTGTTGAAGTATGCAAATGAAATTTATGAGTAATTCAAATACCAACGAATCATTTTCTGTAAAAATAAGAAAAATATTTTGCAGTAGTAGTTGGAATAATTTATTTATGCAGTCAATCAACAAACCAGTGGTACGAAATAGTCAGCAGACTTGGAAGAGACAAAACAAAATACAGCCATCTCCAGCTGAGAATCCATATTCTCAGAATGCCAACAATCAAAATACCCAACACCCACGTGACTGTAAAAGCTATCGGAATAAGAGAACGAAATTCCACTGCTACTAATTCACAACACAGAATCCAAACTACAGTAAAAGCACCCTGAATTACCCTTTACACTAAAATGTTATTCCTTAATCAAACAAATCAAAAATTAATTTTCTTCCATGTATCATTTTATCTTTTATGGTCACAGTATGTTTACTGTTGGATTTTTTTTTCTCCAATCTTCCCAGTCTCAACAAATATGCGGGGATTTTTGAAGTATTAATTTGCATACTAATAAAAGAATCATTCATAACTTGTTTTACTCGAAATTTGTATTCTATTCAATTGCCTTTTATACTTAATCTCTTCAGCTTAAAAATAAAACTTAAAATGAAAATGTACCGAAATAGTAATACCCAAAATTGTACGAAAAATTAAAAATGTTAAAATAGTTGGCGCGAGGGAACAAGCAAATGCTGTAATAGATGAAATCCACATTGTGAACAACAGCACTTTACGTCGACCGTATAAATCAGATAGTTGAGTGACCAGAGGTATGAAAAGTCCACCTGAATGATAGATTTTGATAAGAGTGGTCGCATTATTAATTATAAAGTCTAAAATGACAAATTAAGAAAAACAATGTACTAAACTTGCCTAGCATAAACAATGAAGATCCATGCTCTGCCCAGTGCTCATCGTTGCATACCAAATTGAACTGAAAAAATTGTTTCTCCTAATATCCATTTTATTCTTGAACTATAAAGTTTTAATCTTTTTGAGTAATAACTTGCACCTTTTATGCTTTGAATCAGAAAAATTAATGTTGTGAATATTATTGAAAAATACATTTTGTCTATTAGTAAATTACAAATTTTTATAGCAATAAAATATGCGTAATAGTACGCTAAAATGAATGAATGCAAGCAGTTATAGTTTTTAAGCATATGTAACAATAAAAAGTTTGAAAAAATGATTATTTTTTGACAGAATTTATTTAAAAAAAAACTGTATGTGCATACTGTAAACTTTATTAAAAATTACTGTAATGAGTAAAGTGCGATTTTTTATTTTATCATTTTTAAACTGTTTTCTTTGTTTTGTTAAATGCAAAAATTTACCTCAGAAATTAACGTTGAAAATGGCGCCTTTTCTTCATAAATGTATTTTGAATTATATACATTTAAGCACTGAAGTATGTTGCCAGTCTCATGCTCCAGTACATTACAACTGTCAAGCATTTGATAACTTTTTTGCTGAATAATTAATAAATTTTAATTTTTATTATTAATGCGAATATTTATTTATTTTTTGTTATGCAATCATTGGCTTTTGTACTAAAATGTTGTTAATAAGATTTTTAAAGCAATAATAGAGTAAGCTTAAAAAGCATCACTACGTTGAATAATTTACTTCTGAGATGTTTAACTGAGTGAAACTACAACGGAAAGGCGGAATTTGCGTGATAAAACCCATAATAAGTATGTGTGATGAGTAAAATAGAGCAGTAATCGCAAGAAGTATATATGAACGCATCTGCAATACTTTTCAATTTTATTAAATAGTTTTGTATATTTTATATGATATAATAGAGAAAAAAAATTTATTAAAGTAATGGAATGAAACGATGCATAAATTTGAGTCATTGGAAAGTACCTGATGCTTTCCGTACTTTCCGAATGCATTCAACAACTTTTCTGGATCAAGCTGAACTGTACTGCCATCTGTGGAAATGCTAAGAGAAACTTTTTTCTCCTCACAAATATCTACGCAATCTTTCTCAGTTGTACTTCTTTGAACAGTCATTGATTTACTTTAATTAATCAATTAATTTAATTAATTATATTATCACGAAGAGACAAATATTCGAGATACGATATATTATACATTGAATATTCATTTCAATTAATCTCAATCTCAGAACACCGCAAATAATAGATATCTGAATAAAGAAACACAATTTAGTAGACATTTTCAGTACACATTCTACTTTTATTATATTCAAAAGTTCATTTTCTAAAAGTAACTAAAATCAGATTTATAAGCAATAAAATTTTAACATATCTCATTTTTAAAATTGTATTAACTTGATAAGCTTGTCTTATTTCTTTTAGTTTAATTTTTTCAAAAAAATTTCACTTTTGTCAAAATATTATTTATTTTCCTGACTTTAAACGATTAAACAATAATGCTTCAGACATAAACTTTCGTGCTTGAATCACAGTTTCTTCACAAGACTGCAAAAACAAGCTAATGAATAAAAAAACAATTTATATCCAAAATGAATTAAAAATCATTTTATTGTACAAGCTGTAAATTACAAATGGATGACTTCAGACCGTAGAATTTTTTTAATTTTTCGCTTAAAATTTACTTCAAACTTACTTTATGCTTATTAACTTTTAATCAATATTTATTACTGAAAGTTAAATGCATAATTAGTTAGTTGAAAAAGTCTAATATTTGATCGAAATTCTTGAATTACAAATTCTGGACAGTTAAAAGAAATTTCATCCCTTCTTATACCTAAAAGTCAAACTTTTTCAGGCAGTATAAAATGACATGAATAGACAGTTTTATAAGAATAATCAGTTTGATAAAGTGATGAAAAACTACTGGTGGAGTCAAACTGATAAAAAATCAAACAAAGTCCATCGTCTTTTTTGAGAATATTTGATGTTGTTTTTGAGAAAGCAACGAAAACGGCAAGATTTTCAGAATTTTTCATTCACTACCAACGAATGAATGGTAGACTCAACTGCTAATTGAAGCTTATTTAATCACAGTGTTAAAAAATCAGCTCTTGCTTCTTATTTTAAAGTTATCTATCTACTTGGCAGTATATTTAAAGTAGAATTAAAATTTTTCAACTCTTGGCTGACTGCTTAATGATAATAATAATAATATTCTGGTCTTTATTATTTAAATTTAAATATAAAAACTGATTTTGAACTTTGTACTTACGTATACGGGTGACATGAGTGTCAATAACAAAGCTGTTTTAAAAATATGAAAAGAAAGAGGTGTTTGAGAATATTTGACAAGTTAGATCACGCTTAAAGTAAATCGAATGAGAGGTGTAATGTTTAGGTTCAGTATGGATATGATCTCTATATTTTGTAATAAAGAAAGATAGATTGTTTTCCTAGCAGAATTTTATTTCTGGTATATTTTGGAGTTTTCATTTATGATCTCGACAACAAATATTCTGTAATGATGAAAAATAGTGTTTTTCTAAAATATACTTCTGGTATGCTTTTGGAGGATTTTCATTTAAAGAATACCTTCCAACGTAAAATTTCTTATCCTCAAGGCATCCACCAATATGTTTGGATGTGTCCTTAGATAAGGATTTTGTGGCACATTCCCCATCCCTCCAATGCTAATGCTAGTGCAAGTTTGGAAATGCTTCAGACTTTAAATTTTTCTGTCAAATATGCACCAAATATGTATCCCAATTTGTTTGATATAATTGTAGAACACTGAAGGGAAGATAAAAATTTGTGCCTCTTTTCTTTGTTTATTTAATACGTATTATTTTTTCGTCGACATTTTTTTTCCGACACCAATTCATCATGAAATGCTGAAAATACGATAACAAAAATAGCCCGTAAAAAATATCATTTCAAATGCAAGGTATTACTGGTAATGTCAAAAACGATGTTTTATTGAAATAAATATACAAGTGAAAACGTCAGTAACTGACATGTGATGATCTCCCATTACATCACTTCCATGCGGAAATAATATATACTGTTGAGGCTGAATTTCAATTGAAATACATATTCCATAACAGTAACATTACAAGTATATAACATGGGTTTCTTAAATATTTCTAAAATGATAATGTTTATGAATTTTTTCAACGATGTTTTCGCAATGATAATCCTTTTGCCAATTTATCACATTTACATTCTGATACAGCAAAAAGGTAAATTAAATGAATAAAAAATACCTTTACATGAGAAATGAAATAATTTAAGATTTTGCATTCACCTAAAAAACACTGTTGGCCAATTTCACCACAATAATCATTCAATTATTAATCTTAAATGAAAATACATAAAAAATGACGAACTTTGAAATAAGTTGGTCGAGCAATCGACATTACCAGAAGTTATTGATCGCATAAAATAAAGTTTGGCAGAATGTATATCAAAATTAAATTTGTTATTTGCGAAAAGACTCAGTGACATACCGCGTAAGGAATTTCGCATCAATGGTTGGCCATGTAACGATAGATTTCTAGTCATAAAACACTGTCTTATAAGACGTTCATTACAATATTCATGAGAAGTAGAATACATTAAATTCCTTTATAACTTCAACTTTCTCAAGCAAATCTCCACGAAAATTAGTCTACTACACTAATAAGTGCAGGAAATATTTTCTTTTCGAAGGATTTAACTTGTGCTTTCCATATATAGAAGACACGTAAGCAATGAGAATTGAAATAACGAATCTGGATTACCATGTTGGATGCAGCACGATGGCAAACACTAAAACAATGAATCCATATTCCCACGCTGAGTTGATTTGAAAGCACCAAGATCTTGTCGTGAAGATATCTTTGCCTGTGAAGCAATACCCCACGCTGGCCCATCAGGAGCTGAACCAGATGCAGTAGGCCGTTTAAATCCCTAAACTTAATTTATCCTGTAGGTAAAACCACATTAAAAGTAACTTATCAATTTCACTCATCTTGCACCAAATCACCAAACACCTCACCATAAAAATTAACAAACGTGTAATTATGACTAAAGACTCAAAAAATCCTTGCTGCATCCCAATCCAAATCAATAATTATATTCCATATTCTGTAACAGGAAACTACCTTCATACTACGACTTGCTGCTTTTGCATTAAAGGAGAGCCACTTCTTTTTTTCGTCTTCTTTTGCCTCATCTAATTCTTTTTTTCGATTTTCTTTTTTAAGCGCTCGCAATCGTCGTCTTTCACGTTCTATCTGTAAATAAGAAATTTGTTACAGAAAAAAAAAATGTACTGTTCGTAAAACTATATTACAGACGATTTCAAATTGAGGAATCCTCATGGTTTCTACAATAATTAAACTCCACTACATAAATAAGCATCCTGGATGAAAAAGTACAGTTATAAATAAAACATGTTTCATTGTATTAACTATTCGTTGATTCCTAATTAAATTTCAAGATATTCTTCTCCAGATATAACTATTCCATATTACGTGCACTGACACTAAATGAATCCTGCATATTCCTTAATGAGAAAATAATTTGAAGTTGAGCTGATACTCACAGAGAATTATAATAAGTTACGGATTGTACCAAAAACGGTAAACAATGCATAAAACTCTTAACTAATAAATTTCACTTTCACTTATTATAATTTTGAATCTATAAGACTATATAAAATAAAAGTAATAAATTTCCTTAACTAATAAATTTCACTTTTTCTCACATCACTCAATTCTAATTGAACTAGATTGATACTACAAGCAACACGTATAATAAGAAAATAGTTTGATAATGACAGGAGGAACCAAAACAAAGTCCACAGAGCTCCTAGAATAACAAGACAGAGTTTATTACATATCTTAGTTTTATGAATGTAAAATTGCTCTTAGTATTTAAAACAGAAAATAAAATAACCTGCCACTCGCTTTTACGGTGACGAATGTTTTTATTTGATTTTTCCCAAACATATGTTTTGGTGTCATCTTTCGATACTGCACTCAAATCACTTAATTTTACCATGGCCTTAGTTCCATTTGCTAAAATATATTCAGTGAACACCAATAAATAAAAGGGAAGTAAACTAAAAATTCCAAACAAATAACATAATTAAAGTGGAGTGAGGTCCTAATACTAGATTATAAAATACTAATGGAATGAAATTTTCTTTTTTCTCATTGATAGAATATATAAATTATTAGTATTTGAACAGAAACTTTCAAAAGAAGTGAAATTTATAAGGATTAAAAAAAATTCCGAAAAATATGAGTAAACTGGAAATAATAAAATAGTAAATAATGACACCCTTTAAATTTCTTATTCGGTGTTTAAATGGTAAACTTTTAACACATTTTGCAACAATATAACGCAAAAATTTAAGATTTGGAATAATGAAATTTTTAATAATATAAAGAACTCTAACTTACTAATGAAAGTAATAGCAGCAGTGTCATGTGCAAACCCATCAATGACAGCTAAATGACTTTGACCATTCGAAGATGGTGCCATACACCGATCCCCTACCTGCAAAAAGTATCAAAATTTACTTAAATACAAAAATAACTCTTGAATCAACAGTGGAAGGAAATAAAACTTGATTCAGGAAAAAAAAACTGAAAACAGAACACTAACTTTCCAAGAATGCTTTACAATGGTATTATTCGAAGTTGTGCTGCTTGACTGGTCAGGAACTGATGATGCTAGTTCTTCTTGAAGTGCAATAATTTCTTGTAAGTCAACTTTCAACTTCAATAATTCATCATTGTTTTCTTCTGTAAGTAACGCTGCTTCTACCTGCAAGGAATGTTGATGGCTAATTTTTACAACATGCACAAGGAAACTTCACAGGATCATAGCGAGAATGTTGTATACATTTGAAAGTACTGGATTAGAAAACGTGATACTTCTCTTATCAAGTTCTTGTACACCAACAGTGAAGAGAGTAAAAGAAAGTAATAGAGACTAAGTCTAAGGATCAATTTACAGTTTTTAAATAAGAACATAAGGATACAAGAAAGTGCCCCTAAAAAAAGAATGCAAATAAGAATACAATAAACAGACCTGTTGAAGCTGAAGTTTATAGCATGCTAGTTCTTCTGTTGTATCCATCGGACATACACTGAAAAGCATTCATATTTCAAAAATTTTATCGCGTATTTGAATGAGTTTGCTTTTCGAAACCGCTAAGGTTTTACTTCCATGTGATCATTATGTAAAATTTTATACATTCATTTCGCAATTTACAACACACTAAATACTTTTCAAATATTGCAACATCTAAGTAACACGAACTGATGATAAGAGCAGTATAAAACTATCAAATTTATGACGAAAAATATAGACAATGATGATAAAGCATGGTATATGCTACTTTTTTGAAAAATATATGCAATTATGCTGATAATTTTCATTTATATGATTGATTACATAATATTTAGAATACGCAAATCTCAATTTGAGCCCTTAAAATTCTAAAAAAGCTACAAAATGATACATGGCAGAAACCAAGAATTAGAAAGTGCTTCTTGCTTAATCTACTTCTAACCCTCACAATCAAAGCATTTGTAGTGAAAAATTTTCATGGTGCCCTCCGCAATCGAGTAGCACAAAATCACGAGTAGCAGAGAATCACTCATAACGTAAATGGTTGGTATTTTATTATTTCTAATATGATAGATTCGTTTGCAGTTTCCAGGTCTTTCATTTTTGGAGGAGATTTAAGTGCATTTAAGAGACGGACTGGTAAACATCAGTTTCTATCTGATAATCAGTGAGTGAAGTCTAGCATTGCAGGAATTGTTGCGGCAGTGTTGGAGCATTGTCTGGGATTGATCAAAATGTCAGTAATATAATTCAGTTGAATAAAAACTTCAAATTTTATACAGTTGGGATGAACGCTAAAAGTCTTTTTGCCTAATCAAAAATAATGAACCATATAATGATAACTGAATAAGTAGTGATAGTGCAGAAAGTAGATTTGCCAGCATTATTTTCCCTATTGACACATTCAAATTATCGCTAATCTAAAAGTCATTATGACCATATCAAAATTTCTGTTGGCTTCTTAATTTTTTCGCTTGGCATTTTTTAATGTGTAATTAAAGTTGACAAATTTTGCTATCAAGCACTGAATACCAGGTCTGATTCCAAATTTTTGTTTTCCCATTGGTATGATTATAAATTAATAACAAAAAATCTTAGCGACATTATCATTACTTATAATTTTAATATCCATTAATTTATTTAATCATATCTCATGTCATCAAGGGGGAATATGACAAGCATCATTATCGACGTTATTTATGGTGATTATTGATACGTCATAAAAATATTAAACTAAGCTAAGAATGAATTGCAGCCAATATTAACTCACGTCATGACTAAAACTTACTACATTTCACCCATTTTCAGTTCTGTAAGACAGTTTTATGATTTTACAGTTTTGTTCACTTTTCAATTTACTTGACTGCGAGGCAGTGAGAAATGTTAGAGACTTATTTTGTGATGACAATATTGTCGGTAACAAGAATTCAGTTGTAATGCTGGAATTAAGGTTCGGAGACTACTAGTACTATTGGATATGACTAAATAACTTAATGAAAATTGAAATTGTAAGCAATATAATTGTTGCGAATATTATTTGCAAATCTTTTAGTCATTTTCTCTCTGGCCGTTTCTGTAATTTTTATATCTGCTCTTTTTCTTGTGCGCTTCTGTAGCGGTGGCAAATGCGTTTTAATCCTGATAATTCCATTCATATTTTATTTAACTCTACGAGATCTCTCATTTATCCGCATTATCTTTCTCACGTACATTCGAGATATATACCTGATGAAAGGAGAACACTAATCAAACACATTTACCATTATACATAATGAAGAACTGTATTCCACACAATACAGTCACAAAATGACATGAAAAGTGAGTAATTTACAATACCAAATTATATTCGAGACATAAGTGGAAACAATTTTTTATATTCGCTTAAGTTTTGATGGCTTCCGCATGGTTTTTGCGTATTAATTCAAAACTTGCAGAAGAAAGGTGCAGGGAAATTTTTTTGTCGTTCATTTCTTATCATATCATGCAGTCATATCAATTTGAGATGCAGGAGAACTACACGCGAAAGAAGTCTTTCACAAAATGACTGTAATAACACTAATGAGATAAAACAGTCTCAGTCCTGCATGCGAAATGAATTTCAGTGCTTGGATGTTTCTCAATTCCATTCCCATTTCAAGTAATTTAGTGCTTTTTTGAAATAAATGCAATGCAACTTTTGTACTGTTTGAATTTTGGCACGCTAAACTTCTTTGTTTTTGCCATTTCAAGTAATTTGGGCTATTGCCTGCTATTGCTGCAAGATTGCTATCAATTATTCTGCTATTTGTTGCAATACTATCTTGCCAGCATTTGCTGATTAAACAGAAGTGCTTATCAGTTAATCCTTGCAAATAATTTCTGCATAATACTCAGGTCTCATTATATATAGATAGCTGCTACGGGTGACTTCAGTATGATATGAAAACATTTTCAAATTCATTATCAGATATCACGCGTGAGCAGCAGTTCTGATAACTACCATTCCACTATCATACGTGAAAAAATATTTGACAATAATGATTAATTATCACGCTGAAAGAGCAATACTTTTTACAGCGCCAGCATAACGTGGGTGGAGAATATCCTTCATTTGAATTTAACTCACTCGAAACAGAGATGTGATAATCGTGATGACGAGTATATGCTCAGCAATGATTTTCACCCAAACATATTTCCTTTTCCAACAGGAGATAATCTACATCCTGCTTTTCATCTAAATAAATTCGAAGGATTAATTTTCCATTCAACTTTGTTTTTCTGAACAAATTGTGGCATATAAGTGATGCGCATGTTTGTGTGTTGTGTGTATAGGTATGCGCGTGCGGAATGTCAGATTAATTTAAACTGTGTTTTGTTGTTACATATAATTGAATAAAAATTCAATTATATGTAACAACAAAACACAGTTTAAATTACTTCAGAATAACTTTATTCTTTAACAGTAATTGCGAGAATCAAATCATTCAAACATTCCTTGTATGTATTTTATACATTTCAGTCTCAAACCACCTGTACAGAATCGATGTGATTCAAGTCAAGGAATGAGTAATGCGTGAGTTGCTGTACAGTATGTTAACTAATTCTGTCAAATGATAGTGAATGGTATATATTATAACGAGCATTGAGACTAGAGGATAAAGCAGTGAATTAGCAAAAATGTAAAAAGTAATAAATAGTCATTAACGCATTGCATTATTAGCCATTATCATGAATGAAATGTTATCGTTTATTCAACGTATTACTGTCGCAGATAATAATAACAATAATTTTCTACATGACCGTACTGATTCGCATTAGTAGCATAGAAATTGAATGCTTTTATGCTTATTTAAAAGCATTTGGTTGAAGTTGCGTTGTGCCGAAAAAAAATTGTGTTGTGTGACTTTTAATCATCAAATGTGTTTGGCGTTCTTCGATGACACATGAATGAAATGCTTCTATCAAAAGGTAAAAAAGTTTTCATATAGATTTAAGGGACAATTGTTATCTTTGATATATTCAATACAAATTATATGTTTTTCTGAAATTATATCTTCGTAAGATTATTACTTTCAAGACATTTTTAACATTAATTTATCGTCACCTTTCCATTTACGTTTCATCTCATAATAATTTTTCTTCGTTAAATTTAAATTCATTCAGAAACCAAAGATGTGAAAACTACCGTATTTTATGCCTTATTCATTATTTATTGCTTCTGTAATAAGGTAAAAAATTTTTCATATAGATTTAGTAGCAATGATAAAATGAGTTTAATCTTCAATACACACACAGTACCCATCAATTATTATTTTGTCAAGCAAAGCTTCCATTCATTCAAATTTGATTGCTTCAAATTAGCAATACCAACTGATACTGTCTTGGAAAGTAATCAGCCAACTGTCAGAAAGAGAAAACGATTACAATGCAGATATTTGATATCTTATATCAATTGCACTGCAGTCTTACTTAGCTCTGTAAGTTACTTTAACATATTGAAGTGGGCATGTAATACATTTCTCATCTACCTATAAATCACTCTGTTGTGCACAGAATTATTTTTTGCGTATATCTCGAATGTAATCTGATCACACATTTACGCACTTACCACATCGTTTTGTGATTGAATTGTCGTTGAATGGAAGACAGTTCTTCATTACGCATAGTGGCAATATGTCTGATTAGTGTTCTCCTTGCATTAAGTATAGTGTATATAAGTCGAATGCAGTGAAAGAAGGAACGTGAGTGCTGAAAACCCCATGAATGCAAAGTTAAATAAAATGTGGATACAACCAGCAAAATTAAAACGCATTAGATATCGCTGCAAATGTATAAGTGGTGAAGGAAGTTAGCAGATGTGAAGATTGTCGAAACAGTCAAACCAGTCAAGCAGAAAATAACTACTCCATTTGAAACAATATTCGC